CAGTCCTGACTTTAAGTCTCATGCATGTGGCATGTTAGGTTTCATCAGCCCTGACTTTAAGCCTCATGCATGTAGCATGTTAGGTTTCATCAGCCCTTGCTGGTAGGTTTTTTCTCCCATGTCCAGCTTTCCTCAGGCAATCACAGGACCCTTGTCACCCGCCCCATAGCTGACGCTCTCTGAATGAGTGTGCCAGTGCCCAGTGCCTTTAGTTTGGCATCCCCGTGTAGTTTTCCGGTCTTTGTTATTCTCTTCTTGTCTCTAATACTGGGCTGTGTTCCTTGAATCTATAGCTTGGCACGCTAGGCATTCGATGTGTACCTCCATGCCGTGGCAGTTTCCTCTTTAAAACACCCTTCCCTTCTGGTCACCAAGACCCATCAGCAACTGTAAGGCAAAGGGGACACTGGGAAACCATCTGACCCTTGCTTTATAGTTCCCCAGCTTGACTCAAGTTAAAAGCATCTCACACCTAATGTAGGCCCTGACCTTTGTTTCTCACAACATTTTCTTTACAAAAATCTATCACAGTTAATTCTTTCTCAGTCACTTCAAAGCATATAAAGTTGTGCCTGGTGTGTTGGTATAGACCTGTAATCAAGCACTTGGCAGGCAGAGGCAGGAGGATTATGAGTTTGAGGCCAGTCTGGGATATGTAATAAAGATGTACTTCAATAATGGAACAAAATGGATTACATGACATGTGTAAATTTTTTTAAGTCTTGTTCCAGTTTGACAACTCACAAATACCTTTCTGAAGGACCCGGGATCCACCCCTTTGAAAGAGAATCATTAAGATAACCCCGTCTCTCCCAGTCTGACTTTGAGAGTAGCAGCCTGCTTAGACGGGGGTCAACAGGGCCCAATTCTATGCCTTGACCTCTGACCTTTCTCCTTCACTACAGTACCCTGAAGAACAGCCGCCTTACATGTTTAGCTTTGTATAGTACAGTTTTTGCTTTGACAAGAGTCCATTCCTCCTATGACACTGTACTTTGTGAAGAAGGGGGAAGTTTTCTCGTGCTGCTTCAGGGGCTACCTCAGTGTCTGGGAGACACAGTCATGGGTCATTCAGTGATGCTGGGTATGGGAATGATGACATCAGACAACTCCATTGTTGCCCGAGCGTGACAGAGGAGACCTAGAGAAACTGAAGACTGCAGGGTCACCAGGGGATGTAGTCTTGTGAAGGGACGCGAAAGGAGACTAATTCCATGTGACCACTGTGGGAAGAAGAAGAAGAAAGAGGTCGAGTGGCCTCCAGTTCTTTGCTGGGGCTCAGGGTTACAGACGGCAAGAAGCCTCATGTCTGGCCTTGGTCGCAGTGTGGACCTGCCCGTCACTGACACCCTTTTCTCAGCTCTGGTTGGTCCCGCAAGATGGTTCAGTGAGTCCAAAATCTCTTCCTGGGGAGTAAGTTCTGTGTGGCTGGCACCAGGCCTCAGCCTGTTCCTTATTTTTCCAGGAATTCTCAGGTGAATTCCAACTCCTTGGGAACCATTATCTCTTGTCTGGCAGCTAAATGGACAGGTACAAGCGTCTCCCTTTAGAACAAGAAAGACTTCAGGACAGTTATATGACTGCGTGTGTTCACTTATAGAGAACTACTCATTAGTATTGTGGTTGTTAGAAAGAAAATGGCCCCCAAAGGGAGTGGCACTATTAGGAGGTGTGGCCTTTAAACTGAAAGTGACAGGAGTCCCCCGTGTCAGCCAGTAACCTGGGGAATGGGGACAGATGGAGACCAAAACATAGGAACTGCATCTTCTCTATAGTGTGGGTTCAGCTGATGACTCCACACCGCTATCCGCCCAGGCTCTGCAGCTCCTACTACAGGGCTCCAGCATCAGTGCTCAGAGGGTCACAATTTACACATGAGAAGGGAAACGGGACAGATAGAGACTTGTAACAGAACTAGTGTCCAGGCACTCAGTCAGACCCAGAGGTGCCATCAGGGCTTATAATCAAACCTCACTCATCCTGAGCAGAGCGCAGCTAAGACTAGAAATGCTCAAGCCACTGAGCACCCAGTTCACCAAAGGAAGACACCCTATGGAGTGTTACAGGAAGATGGTCCCCTATGGAGTGTAAGGAGATGGTCCCTATGGAGTGTAAGGAGATGATCCCTATGGAGTGTAAGGAGATGATCCCTATGGAGTGTAAGGAGATGATCCCTATGGAGTGTAAGGAGATGATCCCTATGGAGTGTAAGGAGATGATCCCTATGGAGTGTAAGGAGATGATCCCTATGGAGTGTAAGGAGATGATCCCTATGGAGTGTAAGGAGATGATCCCTATGGAGTGTAAGGAGATGATCCCTGTGGAGTGTAAGGAGATGATCCCTATGGAGTGTAAGGAGATGATCCCTATGGAGTGTAAGATGGTCCCTGTGGAGTGTAAGGAGATGATCCCTATGGAGTGTAAGGAGATGATCCCTATGGAGTATAAGGAGATGATCCCTATGGAGTATAAGGAGATGATCCCCTGTGGAGTATAAGGAGATGATCCCTATGGAGTGTAAGCAGATGATCCCTATGGAGTGTAAGGAGATGATCCCTATGGAGTGTAAGGAGATGATCCCTATGGAGTGTAAGGAGATGATCCCTATGGAGTATAAGGAGATGATCCCTATGGAGTATAAGGAGATGATCCCTATGGAGTGTAAGGAGATGATCCCTATGGAGTGTAAGGAGATGATCCCTATGGAGTGTAAGGAGATGATCCCTATGGAGTGTAAGGAGATGATCCCTATGGAGTGTAAGGAGATGATCCCTATGGAGTGTAAGGAGATGATCCCTATGGAGTGTAAGGAGATGATCCCTATGGAGTGTAAGGAGATGATCCCTATGGAGTGTAAGGAGATGATCCCTATGGAGTGTAAGGAGATGATCCCTATGGAGTGTAAGGAGATGATCCCCTGTGGAGTGTAAGGAGATGATCCCCTGTGGAGTGTAAGGAGATGATCCCTATGGAGTGTAAGGAGATGATCCCTATGGAGTGTAAGGAGATGATCCCTATGGAGTGTAAGGAGATGATCCCTATGGAGTGTAAGGAGATGATCCCTATGGAGTGTAAGGAGATGATCCCTATGGAGTGTAAGGAGATGATCCCTATGGAGTGTAAGGAGATGATCCCTATGGAGTGTAAGGAGATGATCCCTATGGAGTGTAAGGAGATGATCCCCTGTGGAGTGTAAGGAGATGATCCCTATGGAGTGTAAGGAGATGATCCCTATGGAGTGTAAGGAGATGATCCCTATGGAGTGTAAGGAGATGATCCCTATGGAGTGTAAGGAGATGATCCCCTGTGGAGTGTAAGGAGATGATCCCCTGTGAAGTGTTTATAGGAAGAGACCCTATGGAGTGTTTATAGGAAGACACCCTATGGAGTGTTTATAGGAAGACACTCTATGGAGTGTTTATAGGAAGACACCCTATTGAGTGTTTATAGGAAGACACCCTATTGAGTGTTAGGAAGACACCCTGTGGAGTGTTTATAGGAAGACACTCTATGGAGTGTTACAGGAAGACACCCTATGGAGTGTTACAGGAAGACACCCTATGGAGTGTTTATAGGAAGACACCCCATGGAGTGTTACAGGAAGACACCCTATGGAGTGTTTATAGGAAGACACCCCATGGAGTGTTTACAGGAAGACACCCTATGGAGTGTTTATAGGAAGACACCCTATGGAGTGTTTACAGGAAGACACCCTATGGAGTGTTTATAGGAAGACATCCTATGTGGTGTTTATAGGAAGACACCCTATGGAGTGTTTACAGGAAGACACCCTATGGAGTGTTCAGACGCCAAGCAGAAGTCTCCCACTGGTAAAGAAGATATGTGATTTCTACGTATCATGGACCCATTGTCACAATCTGACCTCACAACAAAACAAAAAATGTAAGGCAGTGATTAAAGATGGGATAGGAAGAAGAAAGAGAAAGGAGACTCAGATGAGGTCCCCTGTGAGAGAAAGATGAGAAATGGTTTTTCTCTGATGACTGTATCCAACTTTGAAGTTTGCTTAAGGAAATGTCCTTGAACTACGGCAGGGAGTCATCAAAGATGGCATCCGGTAATTACATCCTCTCTGGTGAGTGGTTTACATTTCATTCTTAAGCTGAATTCAGGAGGGACCTACGTGCATTATGTTAAGATAATTAACATTTGAAGTTTGACCTTGAAATAATCTTTACATTGTAAATTCTTAATGATCAAAACTGTGTTCTCAGTGATTAGAACATATTAGCAATTAATTATTAAAGAAGGGTAATTGCAAATACATATTCTTAAAATCTTGAGGCTTTTAAGCCGTTTGCAGGAGCAACTGGACCTTTTCTCAGATTTGCAGGGGAAAGCTTCCATCTGATCCCCATGTTCATGTCAATGCATCAACAACTAAACATGGTATTTCTCCGCCTCTTTTTTTTCATTGCCTCACAAGCTGGAAACGGGCAGCAACTTGATCCCATCGAAGTCAGAGAAAGAAAATGGTTCTACAGAACCCACGACGTTAAAATGGCATATATGTTTGAAAAATGCCATGGTGAAACCCACTACTTTGTATACTAACTTAATAAAAGCAAATAAATAAATTCAAGCAGGGGCTGGGAGATGCCTCAGTCAGTAAAATGCAAGGGACTTAGTTCAATTCCCAGCACTGCAATACACAGGAAGGTGCAGCAACAGGCACCTGCAACCCTAGAGCTGGGGAGGCAGAGACCGGAGGATTCCCTGGGGGCTCACTAGCCGGATGTGTGAGCTCCAGGTTCCATGAGGCATCCCATCACAAAAGGATATGGCTGGGGGGTAGTTGAGGGAGACATGTGGTACCATCCTCTGGCCTCCACCAGTCTCTGCACAAATGTATATTCCCGCCACACACACATGCACGTGTACCCAGGTACACACACGAACACATACACATTAAAAAAAACAGTAAAATAAAAAGTCACCCCCGCCAGACTTATAAAGTACAGTAACTAGAAGGCCAGCAATCTTGACCATATTTTCTTTAATATATATATATATATTAGGAAAAGTTTAAAAACATATGGGCAGGATGTGGTCTTGGTACTTCAACTCTTCGGACAGCACAAACAGGGCTGTACTGACGAGCATTCCCGCCAATGGTGTCGTGTGTGTGTGTGTGTGTGTGTGTGTGTGTGTGTGTGTGTGTGTGTGTGTGTGTGTTTCCTCCATCGCTTTGTCAGTCCTCCGTGTCTCCTGATGTGGACAATGGCTATCCCAGCCAGTGTGACTCGATCTGTCATTGCGGTTTCGCGATGCATTTCCCTGGTGGTGACACCGAGGATTCTTTAAAACGTCTGCTGGCTATCTGTGAGAGACGTCCATTTTTCACCCGGATTACTTCTTGCTTTGGTTCTGCTCTGGTCTCCCGTCTGTGGCTGGAAACAAACAGCCTGGCAAGAAGCCACCCAGGCAACTCTGGGCCAGGGTACAACGCTGTGGAGACAGAGGCCAAGCGGGAGCTTCAAACGGCTGGTCACATCACCTCCTCAGTCGAGAGCAGAGAGAGAGACATGGATGTGTGCACGCTCACCGGCTCCCTGGCGCTCAGCTGGTTTATCTTTATACATGGTTGGATGCCCTGCCTAGGGAATGGCGCTGCCCACAGTAGCCTGGGTCTTCCCCCATCTGTATCATTTAAGGTACTGAAGACAAGGCCCCCACAGACATGCCCAAAGGCCAGCCTCACTGAGTAACAAATCCCTCACTCAGGCTCTCTTCCCAGATAATCCCAGGTTACGTCAATTTGACGATCAGAACTGACCACCATGGGCTCTTTGTGTGTTGCAGATATTAATTCTTTCCAAATGTATGTTTGCTTGGAAATGTTTTCTCCTGGTCCATAGCCTACCCCCCATATGCACACACATTTTTGGTGTGTGGACATGTGTGTAGTGCTGCAGATCAAACCCCGGGCTCCATCTACGCTACACACACATTGACCCTGAGGTACCTCCTCAGCCTTCAGCCACCCACAGACTGTCTCTTCCCTCTGCTGTATCCTATGCTAAAAACCACAGTCTTTCTTAACTGATACAACCCCAAGCATCTGCTTTTGTCTTGTTGCTACCTAAGTTACTGGGATCAAAGGGAAAAATATCTCCCAGACCAATGACAGGTAGTTGTACTATGGCTTCACACCATAGTCAAACAGACGAAGGTCCTAAATGTAGGAGCTAAAGCCGTGACATACTTAGAAGAAATTAAACTCTAGTAACCTTTGATTAGGTTTCTTGAATATGTCACTAGAAGTACAAGCAACTGAAGACAGAGGAGATAAACTGAACTTCACCACAATCAAACCGCTCGTGCTTCCAAGAACACTGCCAACAAAATGCCAAGAAAGTTCACGGAACGGGAGAGGGTTATTTGCAAATCCAGTACACATGTGCTAAATGCCTAGCACCCGGAAAATGCATGAGACTCACAGCTCAAAATAAAATGCAAAGGACATATAACATAGCTTGAATATGTGTTTCTCTAAAGAAGACACGATACACACATGGAAATACTCCCAATATCATTATCCACCGAGGAAATGAAGGTCAAACCCACAGTGAGATGCTCTTCATGCCCACCAAGATGACTACAGTCAAGCTGGCACCAGGATGACTACAGTCAAGCTGGCACCAGGATGACTACAGTCAAGCTGGCGGACAAGCGTTGGTGAGCACACAGACGAAGGTCCTAAATGTAGGAGCTAAAGCCATGACATACTTAGAAGAAATTAAACCCTAGTGACCTTTGGTTAGGTTTCTTGAACACCTGTGCATCACTGAAGAGCCTACGTGACGGGTTCCAGATGCAGCCACTTTCAATACACCTGGTGGCACCTCAGCACGCCGTCCCAGTCACGCTCCCAAGAGAACTGAAAACAGGTGGGCACGCAAAGCGCCTGTAGATGTGTTCGGGGGCCGTCCGTGAATGCTAAGCAGAAACAACACGGGGGACCATCAGCTGGCACGCTGAATTAAGTGTGGTGTGTGTGTGTGACGGAATATTGCACCACACAAAAATTAACGGAGTTCTGAAATGGGCTAAGACATAAACGAACTTGGAAACATCACACCAAGTCCGAGAGTCAGTCGGGAAAGACACACCCCGTGCTCATATGAATTATCGACAACAGAAAGGGCCACGGGGACAAGCTGACCATCTCAGGGCCTGAGGGGATGGTACAACGGGTTGTGATTCCTGAGGTAAGGCTATTTCTTTGGGTGGGGGTATTCTAGTTTCTTTTCTACTTCCATGGCAAATACCCTGACTAAAAGCAACCTGTGGGAAGCTGAGACAAGGCTCGGCTGTTAGGAGCGCTGGCTGCTCATGAGAGAACCGGGGTTTGGTGGCTCACAACCATCTGTGACCCCCTGTAGGTTCCAGGCACACACACGGTCAGTGTACATGCATACACACAAAATAAAAGTAAACAGACACTTTTAAAGCAACAGAAAGAGGGGAAGAGCTTACTTGGTTTACATTTCCAGGCTACAGTCCATCACTGGGGCAAGTCCGAGGCAGCCACGGTCAAGAGCAGAGAAGCACAAGCAGCCACGCTCTCTGTGTGCTTGCCCTACGGCCAGCAACCTTCACCGCGTTTAGGGCAATAGTACCATCCCCATTCAGCTGGGTAATGGTGCCGCCCCCATTCAGGGTAGGCCTTCCCACCCTCAATCACCTATCAGTCTCCCAAAGGTATGCACACAGGTGGATAATTCCTTTGGCAAGACTCTACCCATGTGGTTCTAGGTCATGTCAAGTAGACAGCTGGATCTCACCAGCACGGGGAGTGATGAGCATCTTTGGGGAAGAGACAGTTGTAGAGCCTTGTAAATGTGATGGAAATGAAATGGAATTATCTCTTTTAAATGGTAGTGCTTATGAGATGTGGGTTGTACTTCAACATCTGAAAACCTTTGAGAATCTGGACTTCCCAGGAATATTCTTAAACAGATAGGGCAGGGAAACAACTAGGAGTGAGATGTATGAAACACAGACTCTGGGCTGTGGCAGTGAATGAGAGTCGGCGTCACAAGGACCAAGGGAATTTGAAGCCGGAGTCGTATAAGGGACAACTTCAAGATGCATGTAGATCACTGACAGGCCAAGCCAGAGGACAGCAGGGAGCAGTTAGCCAACGAGCCTCAGGAGCAGAAAGGCATGGCCTCCTGCTGCTGTACATGTTGGAGCGATACTAAGAGTCTATTAACGTGATTGGCAGTATGAAAAAACTCTAAAGTGTGTTTGTGTGGTAATGTGTGTGTTTATGTCCATGTATGGGGTACATGGGCACCTCCATGTGGAGGTCGGAGGTTGGTGTCAGTGTCTTCTTCAACCGCCCCTACCTTATGTCTTGTGACAAGATGTCTCACTGGACCTGGAGCTCATTGACTTTGTTAGGATGGGTATCCAGTGAGCCCCAGAGCTCCCCCTGTCTCTGCTTCCATGTCAGGGGCTTACAGACACACACGGCCCTTCAGGGCCATTTACATGGGTACTGGTTATCCAAAACTCGTGTCCTCATGCCTGTGCAGCAAGCTCTTTACTGACTGAACCGTCTCCCCAGCCCAGCAGGGGGGGGGAAGGAGAGAGAGAGAGAGAGAGAGAGAGAGAGAGAGAGAGAGAGAGAGAGAGAGAGAGAGAGAGAGAAGAGAGAGAAGGAAAGGAAGGAAGGAAGAGAGAAAGAGAGGAAGAGAGAGGAGAGAGAGAAAGGAAGAAAGAAATAAAGAAATGAGAGAGGGGAAGGAAGAAAGAGGAAGAGACAGGCAGACAGACAGACAGACAGACTCTTAGTGACATGGGCTCATCTGACCCCATGAGCAGAGCAGGGGACTGATGCCTGCCTCTGCCTCCCCACTGCCTGCCTACATGCATCTTGACTTCCAACTCTGTAGGTTCTATGAGGTGAACCCTGAGAATACGGAGGTGGGCTGTGTGTGTGGGAGAACTCAAGGAAAAGATGGGGCTAAGGATAAGCAGAGAAGGTGCCCTCCAGGAACACAGGAAGAGGGTGAGGACTAAGTGAAATAAGAACCCTGTTGTCTCACACACACACACACACACACACACACACACACACACACACCACACACACAGCACACACACACCACACACACCACACACACACATACACCACACACACACACACACCACACACACCACACACACACACCACACACACACACACACCACACACACACACCACACACACCACACACACACACACACACCACACACACACACACACCACACACACACACACCACACACACACACACACCACACACACCACACACACACACACACCACACACACACACACACACCACACACACACACACACACACACACGTGAGGGCATAGGGCTGTGACTCAGGAACAAAGCACTTGCTCAGCATGCAAAAGGCCCCGGGTTCCAAACACATTACCCTGAGATGGGGGATGGGGGAGGACAGGTGTCAGGGGACAAGTGAAAGGAATTCTGACAAGCCTGGATGAAAATGAATCGAAGTCCTAAATGCAATTTGTTTAGATCTATTATTTCTTTAATGTTGCCCAGTAAATGGAATGGAGAGAGGGCTCGATGGTTAAGAGCATTCGTGGAATTCACTTCCCGGCACCCACATCAACCTGTAACCCCAGCTCTAGGAAACCTGGCGCCCTCTTCTGGCCTGTGTAGGAACCTGCACACATGCGCAAAGACACACAGAGATGGAGAGAGGGAGAGAGAGAGAGGGAGAATGAGAGAGACAGAGGGAGAAATCAACAAATCTTGTTTGTAGTTACTGAGTAAAGTATTAGCTATGACTCCTAGGTGTTTTAAAAAATTCAGAGCCCTTCCTGTCCAGCAGTGATTTAAAGATGATACCAGATCTTGAACTTTTTGTCTGTGGTCAAAATATGAGTTCTTTATTATGAAAATGTGAGTGTGGAAAGGTGGTGGTGGCATTATTTTACAATCGTGGGATCTGCGATGAGAATTCACAAGATTTGTGTGCAGGAGCCTTTCATAATTGATGAATGACTTCATTATTATGTGTCACTGATTGCTCTTCAAAAACACTGCAGCTGTGGGAAACATCAATTAGCCGGTGTTTATCAACATGTTTAGGGACAGATTAAAGTGTACCAGTGTTTGGGGAGCAAAGAGAAATACGGGATATGATCTCAAACATTAGGACATCAATAGATTCCTGGGAAAGAATGCAGTTAGCAAAACACTGTGGACCATCCAGTTACCAGCATCTACTCTGGGCAGGTTTACCAGCTGGCTCCCACTGACACCTGGAAATATCTGTAAAATGTTTCCAAGTGGTAGAGCGGCGGTGGGGAGCCCAAATACAGTCTAATGGTAACTCGATCACGGTTACACTGTGTTGATGACATCACTTAGATGGTATCCAGAGTTGTTAGTTTACTGTTAACCCCCATCTCTCTCTCTAAGGGCACTGAGGCCTGAACCCAGGGCCATGATCATACTAGGCCAGTGCTCTATCAGGAGTAATACCCCCATCACTCATTGTGTTTCTTATATTGGAAACAGGGTCTCATTAAGTTGCCCAGGCTGGCCTGGACCACAGTCTACCCCAGACAGGACTTGAACTTGTGATCCTTCTGCCGCTTCAGTGTTCCAAATACCTGAGATGACAAGCCCGTAACGTCAAGCCAGGCTTCATCTGGGTTTCTGGGTTTTGTTTGAGAGGGGTTAATTCTCTTACTATTTCTTTTCATTAAAATGTGTTTTGTAGAAACGTCCACTTGGGCATGTGACAGGCCAGATTGCCCACGTGTCAGACACTCCTGGCTGCCTTTGTGAAAAACAAGTGAACAGTGCGCAAATATGCTCCCATCTAACTCTGTTCACAAGGGAAGGCATCAGGCTAGACCCGGCCTACGAGCAGGCATCAGGCTAGACCCGGCCCACGAGCACAGCTCAGCTTGTTTGCACAATTCCAAAATCAGTGCAGCACGGCTCACGTTTTACACCTGCACGCCTTTGTCATTTACGGGTTTTGTATTTGTCTGACATGTATCCGGGTAAACATCTCCTCTCTTCATACCCTGGCAAATTTTACGGTGGGGGCACTACAGATTTGGCACGTTTCAATGAGACCCAAACAGACATCCATCTCCAAAACGCTCCGGGGTTGAGCATCACAGACTGAAAGTCAGCCGAGAAGGAACTTTGAGGAGGAAACAATGAAAATCTCTGCTCCACACGCATGCTCCTTCATGTCTGGATTGTGATTTTTCTGTTTTCTTTCTTTTTTTTTTTTTTTGTAAGTTAATGTCTGAGGAAACAGGTTTTGAAACTCGATGTGCTTGAGATGGGGGTGGGGCTGTATCAGTCTCCTTTCTTGTTGTTGTGAGCAGTCGCCTGACAAGAAGCAACTGAGGAGAGGGAGCGTTTATCCTGGCTTACCGTTTAACGGCGTGTGAGCGCTGGGCACACTGGACCTGAATCAAGAAGCAGGGGGCAGACAGGAAGTCAGGGCATGCCATGAAAACCACGGCACCCAGCCCTGTGACCTAACTTCTCCCAGGAAGCTCTGCCTCCTAAAGGTTCCACGCCTTCCAAAGCAGTGCCATTGGCTGGGGGCCCAAGTATTCGAACACATGGTCCTATGGGAGGCCATGCTGAACAGTTTTATGTCAGCTTGACACAAGCTAAAGTCATCAGAGAGGAGGGAACCTTAACTAAGACAAGGCCTTAATGAGGTCAGGACGCAGGCAGGCCTGTTGGGCATGGGGCATGGCCCAGTCTCTTCTGGGTGACATTCCTGGGCTGATGACCCTGGGTTCTGTGAGAAGGCAGGCTGAGCAAGCCATGAGGGCAAGCCAGTCAGCAGCTCCCCTCCGTGGCCTCTGCGTCAGCTCCCTGCCCTGTTTGAGTGCCTGTCCTGACGTCCCCAGATGATGAGCCATGACCTAGAAGCACGAGCCAAATAAACCCTCCCATCCCCAACTTGCTTTTCAGTCATGGTGTTTCATCACAGCGAGAGAAACCCTCACTAAGACAGTGGCATTTCACAACAGATGCCAAGATAGGTCATGGGCCACTCCTTGCCGGAGGACACCCTTGTCACCACCCCACTCCTCTCTCGTCCTCCATTCATCCATCGACTACTCCAGAAAGCCCAGCTCTAAGTATGGGGTGATGTCAGCTCCCCTGCCTTGCTCTGGGGCACCTCCTCCACAGCTCGAGAAATCCCAGACCTGATACCAGTTCTGTGACCTTCCACTCGGGAAAGGCCCCATCTGCTTTATCTTCTCCCCAGATCCCTCCCGTAAAACGGCTGAGGCTCCTGTTCCCAATGCTGTGGGTCACCGCCGAGCAGCCAAAGCACCCTCTGCTACTCTGAGACCAACCACATCTCCCCAAGCAGACATACACAAACAAACCGGGCAGTGAAAACATGTTCGCTCTAGGTTTTAAGACAGCTGATGGGTGTCAGCTCCGTGCAGGGACAGGAGTTTGTCAGTGACCGGAGCATTCTCCAGCGGGATCATCTGGTAGGTACTGAGTGCCAGGTAAGCAAAATAAAACAAGGCCTGGCTCAAACGCAGGGCCCAAAAGAAGAAATCTCCAAACAAACAAAAAACAGAAAAACCAAGAGTAGCCATAGTTTGACAACCCCTGATCTAGACTTTTCCATACTATCAAAGAATAGGA